TGGGGTTGCTTACGTATCTGGACTTTTGTGCATGAAATTACAAATTTCTTATAAATTATGTGACTATTTCGTTGTAGGATCAAATCAATATGGCTGAAGTCAAGGATCCATTGGATAAGTTTAAGGTGGGCTTATACTTTCGAAAGAGCTTAAGTTATGTTTTGATGACACGCAATTGTACCTGGATATACCCTTGGGTGTTCTGAACCCTCAATGAAAATTTGAAGATCTTATCAGATACTAAGGATTCTGATAGGACCCTCTAATATATTAAGAATGAGTATGAACAGTGGGCAACAAATGTCTGTGTGTGTGTGTGTGTATTATAAAATTGTAAATTATAAAATAAGTATACACATTATAAATATCTTACATCTCATAATTATTTTAAATTATTTATTTATTTTTTAAAGGATAAAATATTTATCAGCTTTTTAAAATTATATTCTTACTTCTTATAATTTCACATTCTATTTTTATATCAATTATATTATTGTTGAAATATGATATATGATTTTGTTATTATTTGTATCTTTATTATTTAGAATAACTAGTACATGATTAAAATTTGTCAATTTAATCACGACTTATTCAATTATAATTCGACCATTGAACCTTCAACCAAAGTTTCACCTAGTTCAATGGTTGGTCTGGTTTTTAACACCGTGAAAATTTGTAAAACTAGAGCTGGCTTCATGCAAAGCCTCACTGTTCACAACTTGTGGATAGGTGCAACTTCCTACAACTTCGATAGATATACTGATATTGATTTTCGAATATTTAAATGGCAAATGCAAACTATTTTTGGATTTGCGATAGTAGTATTGATTTTCTTTGAAGATTCACATCTTTCATTTCTGTGGGCAGACATTCAATGAATTTTTCATAAGAGAGTTAAAGCCTGGTTCAAGACCAATTGATTCCTTTGAACGTGATGATGTTGCTGTATGTGCTGCTGATTGTCGTCTGATGGCATTTAAATCAGTTGATGAGAGTTTAAGATTTTGGATTAAGGTAATTTTTCTCCTCTCTTGCTACATGGAATGCTTCCATTCTTGAAAAAATGATTTATTTTTGGTATCAAAATTTTAACATTTGGAAATCTGCAAATAATGGATTTTTACTAGTTGACACATGAATTTTGTGATATAAGATGGTTTTCAGCCAATTTCTGTGACCTATATCTATTCTAATAGTGCCCATTAGCACCGGCTTGACATTCCTGCGGGTTAGGGCAGGGGTGTGGGAAGGAAGAAATTTGTGAGGAATGTGATCATTATCTGGAGTTTGTTCATGCCCTTGCTCTCTGTCTTTGCACGAAAACATGTAACAACTGTAATAGATCAAAGTATTTGGCTGCTCAATCAATGTCTTATGTGTAAACATCCTCTGGCTAATTGTAACTAAAGTTGTGTCTGGTGCTTTTACTTTTGAATATCCTTCTTTTCTTCTTTTTAATTCAAAGATTTTTTATGCATATAAGATATAAAACTTGTTCAATTATTGAAATTTGGGCCCCGTTGTGATGGTGGAAATTAGATTCCCTGGATATTTAGGGATACATGGCTCTTTGTTCTTTCCGCGTTGATTATGGAGGTCAACGAAGTAATTTTTCAATTATCTTTCATTACTTCTAGGGTCGAAAGTTTTCAGTTCAAGGCCTTTTGGGGAAGGAAATTTCTTCTAGTGCTTTTGTTGATGGAACAATTGTGATATTTCGTCTAGCACCACAGGTACTACTGGTTGTTTGTTTAAATTTTATTCTGTTTCTGTTATAGTTTCCTAGGATTTTGACTTTAACACCTATATCTTTCAGGATTATCACCGATTCCATTTGCCAGTATCAGGAAAAATCGAGCAATTTGTAGATATCCCTGGATGCTTATATACAGTATGGGACAATCACTTAACGAAGACAAATTTTATATATACCGTTACATGTTTTTTTGTTGCTCTAATTCTTTGTATTAGCGCTCATTCACAATTTATTTTTCACTCTGCCCTCCTTTGAATAGGTCAATCCCATTGCTGTCAATAGCAAGTACTGCAATGTCTTCACAGAGAATAAGCGTGTTGTTTCAATAATTTCAACTGTAGATTTTGGAAAGGTTTGTCGTTGCAATAAATCTGTATTCCCAAGTGCACATATCTGAAATGATTGATGATTGTAGAACGAGGGACAACAATTATCAACTTCAGCTTGCTTTCTGATTGGAAATTTTCTGTTATTCATTTAAGCATTTAGTCCATTTCTCGTTATTTATTCTTGTAATTTTTCTGTTGTGCTTTTGATGATTTGTCAAGTTCCTAAAATGCTTATGGTGAACTACCGCTCTTTATGCACATTACTACTTTCTCCCCGAAATGTATTTGACCATTAATACATTCATATTCGTAATTCTATGATCTGGATTTAGGTGGCATTTGTTGCAATAGGAGCTACAATGGTTGGTAGCATCACTTTTACCAAAAAGAGAGGTGATCATGTCAAGAAGGGAGATGAGGTAACCAAGATAGAGATTGATTTTTGTTTATTCATCTCTTGTTTCCATTGCTTATTGACATTTCATTTGCTTAAATTACAGTTTGGATATTTTTCATTTGGTGGAAGCACTGTAATCTGTGTCTTTGAAAAGGTTGGTGTTATTATTAGCGTTACTGCTAATAGTTCTTTATTGTTCATCAAATTTTGAATTTCTTATTGCAGAAAATAATCCTGGCTCCTGATTCTTTATTATCCATGAAAAAATTTGTGCACAGAACTAATCTATTTTACTTAAATTTTATAAAGATTCTCGTAACTTATTTGGTCTTATATTTGAATTGCACGTGTCATTATTTAGCTGATATAAATGATTTCTATCTAAGAAGAAGAACCAATGACAAACGTCAATTATTAAGGCCATATTTTCCTCCAGTCCTGTTGCAGCATGTTCTTGTTATTTGATGTAACTAAAACCGTTTTACTCATGAAAACCTACAAAATAAGCCATATTATTCATAACTTGTTAATAGCACGGTTTGATATAGATTTTATTATAGATACATACATACATATATATATCTATATTCATTAAACAAATTTTATTTCGATGCCTGGTTCTTATTTCTTGTCTGATCCATTCAGCTCCTTGTATTAGTAAGTGGGGGAAGAGCAGTGGATTCTTGATCTTAAGTGCGTTTTACTGTTAGAGACTAAAGAATTTGGATACAGTGACAGAGCACAGACACTATGACATGACGATATCTACAGTGCCACGGATTATTTGAAGTGTCCTGCCATATTAGACTTGAGGATCTTGACACATTTCAAACACAGGCAGCTGTTTTGTTTAAAACGAAATGTCGATGCCTCAAGAAACGTATAAATTTCGTGAAACTAATCTATCACATGCTTCTCTTTCGATTCTATTACCAATGGGACAAAAAAGTCATTACTGCAGGGCACCAGTTTTCTGTTCTGATTGATTTAATATGGAAATGGTGTTCCGTTCCAACAATTTTTTTTTTGGGTGCAATCAGTAATCTTTTGCCTAAGTTGTTAGCTTTCTGTAGAGATCGATAATTTCTTGAGTTAATTTTTGGAAAATGCATGTAATGAAATCTCTCTCACTCTCTCTCTCTTCCTTTTCTCTTTGGTCTGCAGAATTCAATAGTGATTGATGAAGACCTCCTAGCGAACAGCGCCAGATCACTTGAGACCTTGGTTCGTGTAGGAATGAGGTTGGGCGTATCCACAAGGGGATCTCCAGTTACCTAACTACGGGGAAGTTTGGTCTTCTCTGTACAGTTGACAACTTTGTTCAAGATACCAGTGTAAAACTGAAGGTGTTTGTCCAAGTTGTGCTCATTTTTAAAACCCATTCAGACTTAGTTTATAGCTGGCTACTTTTTTGGGTTAATCTGTTTGGGAAAAAGTGGGTTCTCTATGGTTTTTGTAATTTGGTTTGTGCTGCTTGTAGCTTAAATTCATGATCAAGAAATAAGCGAGCTACACTTGCAGTTGTATATGGACAAGCTCGGGGTAACTAGTGTGCAAGCTTATGGAAACTAACAAAATATGAAGTAAGTGTGTTCTGAACTGTCAACAAGAAGTTGCTCTAGTACTAGTGTCATCTGCTATGTTTGGATAAAATTACAGGTTTGAGTTTAGCGTTGACATGTTTCTTTCTATGCATGTGTTTAAACCATATCAAATGTTAATTAAAAAAGCCTCACTCTTAGCATGTCTACAATCACATAGTATAACAGTTTTACCATGATAAATTGGCAAGCCTTGAAACATTTTACCAGACACAGAGAACATCACTTGTAATATTTGAACAAACTTGTATGTATATAAATATAATGGAAGATGATTCATATTTATGTAAATTTAAAGATGACCAATTTCTCCCTTTGAGAACATATTCAATCAAGAAAAGGAAAAAAAAAAGGAAAAATAATATTTTTAATCATATTTAGTGTAATATTTTATATATTAAAAGTAACTGTAAATATATTTATATTTACATTAAACATTATAAGTAAAGTTTATTTGAAAAATTGAAGTGCTAAATTTTATAATTTTGTACTACGTTACAATAGTAGATTTTGCCGAATTTCTTTTAAATTGTTGTTAAGATGATGGCCGATTTCGGGAGAACGAAATATGGGGGATAGCATGAAAGATGATGAACAGTGCCACACAATCTTCTTTATCAACAACATCATTTTTTAAAGAAATTAGAAAGTCTAATGTACAGGAAATATTAAAATTAAATTTTAAAATAATTTATGTTAATTTTAATTTAAAATATGAAATATCAACTCAACTGAAAAAAAATATTATTGGAGTTTCTCGATAAAAAAAGATTACGGTAAAGATTCGGATTATGTTGGACTTAAAATGTGGGCCCAGATGACCATGGGCTTTCAAACCCATTTGTTAGCAGTACTATTAAGTATTCTTGGCCCTCTTGCAAAAAAAATCATCACCCCAAACCCTATCCCGACATCTATTAATAAAAACAATGAAACCCTCAATTCTCGTCTTCTTCACTCCTTAGCGGCGGGCGGAGCTTAGGGCTGATCGACATCATGGTAATCACCTCCTCCTTCTTCGCCTTCTTCTCGCTTGTCTTCTCCCTATTCCCATTTACCTGCCTCAGAGATCCCGCAGTATTTCTATATCCTTCATGCTTCCGTGAGTTTTCAAGAACTCTATGAACTGATCTGAATTTCTACTTGGAATCTTTGATTACCTTGTTTCTTTGTTTGTCACAGTTCTTTTCGTTTTCCTTTGTTGTTTGTGGGAATATATCATTCCGCAAGATTGAAGTTGTTATTTGCGCCATTTCCTCTGTTTACATCAATTAGTATATGATTTCTTTTATTTTGTTCAGTTTCTTTTCAGTTTTGTTGATTGGAGGCGTGATATAGTTTCTTCTATAGTCTGTCAACGCTGGGTTTCTTTTCATTGGAATCGATACTTGCGTTCTTATGCTCTTGTTTAGGTCAATATTTTTACTTAAGACATCTTTTTTTCTGGAGTAATTTGTGAAATGTGTCATTTTGATATCCTTTATTGGGAAGTGTGACAATTCTGCTGCCGTCCTGTAGGTGAACGTTCCAAAGACCAAGAAGACCTACTGCAAGAATAAGGACTGCAGGAAGCACACCCTGCACAAGGTCACGCAATATAAGAAGGGTAAGGATAGTCTTGCGGCTCAGGGAAAGCGCCGTTATGACCGTAAACAATCGGGCTATGGTGGACAGACAAAGCCTGTGTTCCACAAAAAGGTAAGCTGTCATCATGTTTCTATCAACAACTAATCTTTAAAGCTTTTGGTCATGTTATTGGGAGCTGGTTGTTAATTTCTTGTGGTCAATTACTTTTCTTTGAGTAGGCTAAAACCACTAAGAAGATTGTCTTGAGGCTGCAATGCCAGAGTTGCAAACATGTATCCCAACATCCTATTAAGGTTGGTATATCAATCATGATATGTTTCACACGTTATATTTCCCTGGCATATTGTATATCACTGATTGATAATTCATTTGTTCTCTGCAGAGGTGCAAGCACTTTGAGATTGGTGGGGATAAGAAGGGGAAGGGAACTTCTCTGTTCTAGGTTCAGAAGTAGGATTTATAGCGTCAGTGTTGTCGTTGTACTTTGTACGGTTTTTATTTCGGATGTTCAAAACGCTTGGAATATTTTGTTTCTCTATGGATATCTATCTGATAGCTTTAAGCTATTCATGAAAAATTGCTCGTTACTATTGCTAATATTAGTTTATTGCTCTCAGGTCATTTATATCTTGTTAAATAATTTTGTTCTCTCTTTCCATTATTCAGAGTTACGAGTACCTTTTGGATTTCTGTTTTTCGAGCTAGAGTGAATCATCAAAGTTCTCGGACAGAATCGTTATTCCTTAAGTGATATTACATTTCAAATGTTCTTCAATTAATGTTATCTTTTGTTTCTAAGTTGGAACCAGTTTGGTTGATATCGAAGCCCTTCAATTAAACAGCGGTGTTCCCCCTCTCTGCTTTTATTCTGGAGTTACGTTTTGGATTTCTGTTTTTCGTGGTGGAGTGAACCTACAAAATCCTTGAACAGAAGAATCGTTAGTCTTCAACATAACTGATATTACATCGGGAAAGCCAATGTTTTTCAATTAATGTCATCTCCCTTTATTTCGAAGTTGGGACCAGTTTGGTTGATATTGAAGCTAATGATGTTCAATAGTAACCCTTCGAAAGCTGGATACAGCCACCTAATGAGGGACGAATTTTGTAAATTAATTAGTGTTCTAAAACTACTGTACATGGCTCTTGTACGGCACAGTAAATGTAATTCGACTGGCCAAATGAAACATCAATTCTTCTGTTTAAACAGGACGTGCGTGAAGGGTACTTTCTTGTGCGCTTCCGAGGACAGTTTTTAAAGGGGTTTGGGGACTATTCTCCGGTCCATGATTCAAGTTTGACATGTTTTTCGGCAATGAAGGGTTTATATTTTAGAGAGTAATCATTACTTGCCACTAATCCAGAGTGTCATGTTTTTGCACTTAATCCTATTTCAAGTTTTAAAACGCTATGGCTATTCAACGATAATTACTTCCTGGGTTCGGTTGTGCATAGGCTCCCATGTAAGCATTCCGTTCGAGCCTTGACAGTGTAGCTTCTCCTTGCATGCCCTCTCTTGTGTATTGCTGCCACAGCACTTGTTCCTCCACTAGCAACCCCTGTTTCTTCTCCATCTCTGACATTTGCACATAAGATGGAGGTGCCACACCCAGCGAAGCTGCAAATGGATCTGTACTTGCTGGCCCAAAATCAGTAGAACCTCCGGATGTTGGTGGTGCCGGCAATGCCAACAATGCTGGCCTTCCGGCCGACCCAAGTGCCATACTGCTTGAGCTCCCGCTGACTATGAACCCCGGTCCCTGCATGGCTGCATTTACTTCTGCTTGCTTATACATGCCGTCCAACAAGAGTGTATCAAATCCACCTCCCAGTTCAGGCTTCTGGTTTGGCAGGTTGCTGGTTGATTGCACCAATGCTGTTTCCCAATCTGCTTCTTCATCAAAAGCATGCCATGGAAGAGCTTGGGTGGCACTCGCGGTTCCTGGTGCAGCACCATCAAACAAGGCCAAGGCAAGCTTATCCCCTTGTTCCTCTGTGGTAGGCACATCATCTCCTAGATGTAACAAGTCAGCTTCTTTTTGTTCTTCCTCTTTAGGCTTTTCTTTGATTGGTTCTTCAATGACTTCTTCAACCTTTGGTTCCTCCACTGGTGGTGGTAGTGCTTTTGTTGTATTCACGTCCTCTTCTAATTCTTCAACCTTAGCTTCTTCTTCTTCATTCTTCTCTTCTGCATTAGAAGCCTTGCCTTGTGCTGCAGCTGATTTCTCTTTGATATATTCCTCCATGACCTCCAGCTGCTTTGAATTGATCTTCTCAATTTGTGGGTACTCAGAAGACCTTGCAATGCCTATACTCTTGCACCAGCAATAGAACAAGTCTAGCTCATCAAATTGCTTCCCAACACGGCAGAAAATGTCATAAACTTTAATGCAGTCTTGCATCTGCAAGTCTTCAAACCTGTCCAGTAAGGTACTGAGTATTTCTGTTACCTCACTGTATATCTGGAAGCTGTCCTTCACAATGGGGTATAGAGACACTATCACAATTCTATGTGTTTTTGCTGCTCCTGTTAAATTTAAATGAACATGAGATTTCTTCTAGTTGGATTACAGTAATATGTATAATCACAATTCCATGTGTTTTTGCTGCTCCTGTTAAATTTAAATGAACATGAGATTTCTTCTAGTTGGATTACAGTAATATGTATAATCACAATTCCATGTGTTTTTGCTGCTCCTGTTAAATTTAAATGGACATGAGATTTCTTCTAGTAGTATTACAGTAAGATGTATATATGGTCAAGTGAATCTTAACTGTAACCGGAAATTTGTGATAACTAATCTGAATTAAAGTGCTTTGATGGATAATTCATGGAGAAATAAATCTAAATTAATTCTTGGTTGAAAAAAAATAGAGGGTTTTGATGAGTACTAACCTGTGGGACGACAAGCTAAAAAGCGCTCAAGCAGCAACTGCAAATGCTGCATCTTTGAAAATATTTGTTCTGTCTTCATGTCCCGTATTGGTGTGGATCTCGTAAATGATTCTTTCTCTTTCTCTTTATCTTTATCTTTATCTTTGTTTTCTTCTTCTTCTTCATCACATCCAAACGTGCTTTTCTTTCCTCGCCGATTCTGCATTTTATACTCAAGCCTCTCATCCAAGTATAGTGCATAAGTGCGAACAAATGCTGAGAAGTCCCATGAGTTTAACGACTTGCCATTGTCACGAAAATCAGACAAGTTGAGAATTCGAGTTCCTCGACGAGTTGAGAAGAAGATCTCTTGCTCATATGCAGGATCACCTTCATAGAGAAGCCTTTGTATGAGGATAAGTGTTTTCATGGCGACTGTCCAGCTTCGAGTTTTGTTGAGGCGTTTGGAGAGTGTGGTGACGCAGGCGCTAATGTAGGTTCGAGAGTAGCAAGTTAAGCTGAGTATTTCTCTAATGTATTTCTCTTCTGCAGGATGCTCGTTGTGCTTTGTTGCCTTCACTATGGCAACTTCAAGGTCTGCAAGTGAGGTACTGCTTCCTACTTTTGCTAGGCTTATGGTTGTTTGATCCTTGACTGCGCCAAGGGCTTTCTTGATCTTGCTTGGAGCCATTTTGAAGGCTAATTGAAGTTCCTGATGTTGATGATCACCTGAAAGTGAAGTTCAGACATGTCTTCTTTTAGATAAAGTCAATCCAATCTAAGGAATAATGAAGATGATATGGTTCATTTAAAGAGCTTTCATGATTCTTAGCATGAACTTCATACCCAATATTTTCTCGCGTTCATATTACAAGTCATTTTAACTACCTGACCAGAATCAAGGAGAGGTGGTTGACTCATCAACTTTGTTTGAAGATGAAACATTTTTTCGACTTTGTTCATATTCAAGAGTAAAGAGAGACACCATATTAGATTTTAAGTCTTCTCGTAGTAAATTGTAATAGGGGTTATAAAAAATGGTTCATTAATGACCTACCAAGTGACGTATATTATGGATCAATAATCTCTTATAGAAGGCGCAGAAGGAGTATGGCTATTTTGTTGATTCTTCATAAGTCTATGCTGCTCATGAATTTCATTGAGAAGTCACTTGAATGAACGTAAAAATCCAATGTCTCATGAATAGAAAATACTCCTCCGGTCCTAAATGTAAGACCCTAATACACACTAGTATAAGGGTCTTATATTTAGGACCGGAGGAGTATGTCATTATGGCTCTATAAGGAGATCCTCTTTGATAGAAAATATGTCATTAAGGCTCTATGAGGAGATCCTCTTTGATTATTGTGACTCAGTTCTGGAGAGAACATTAATTTGCTCTTTGGTTTTCTGATGATCTTTCTTCTGCTTGGATTGAATCCATGTCCCAAATCAAAAGACGAAAGATATTGAACAAGGAATAATTGTGAATGCCAAATGCAAATAATGTAATATAAATATATAACAAATAAGACAAAAATGGGATCAATTACCTGGTTGATAGTATCAGAGAGGCATAGAAAGAAATGTAAGAGAATTAATTAATGTGTCAAAATCAAAGAGAGATTATGGCAAGTGGTATTGAAATCTGAAGTATGCTGTATTGTTAAAGGTAAGAGGTTATGTTAAAGAGGGAAGGGAGAATTAAGGATGTAAGGAACAGAAGAGGAGATAGTTTTTTTTTTTTTTAATTTTTTTAAAAAACTATAGTTTTGTTTTTTCTATCCACTCTTCCTAATTCTTCATTTCTTCCCCTTTCCTCTGTTACGTAGAAGCTTCAATCCTTGCAAGAAGACTATCTCAAAAGGGCCAACCAGTGGCCATGTATTGTCCTTTTTTGTAGCATCAAAATGTGCGAATCAAATTAATCAAAATCATCAATTATTACTATTTTGGAAATTGGAAATATGATATTGTTGGTTCTCCTATATTTGGTACTTCCATAGTTTTTGTTTACGTTCTTTGACTTTTTCAATCTCAACTTGACCACCTTTGGATTGCATTCCTGATTGGTTAATGCTCAAAATCATCATGAAATTTTCCAGAAAATTTAGCCACTTACTTAATACTATCTTTTACAGACGCAATTTTATTTTATTTTTTTTAAGAAACGCTTTCTCTTTGTATTTAAAATTATCATGCTAGACGTTAAACTTACTATTTCAAACGAAGCAAAAACAAAACGAATGAGTTGCATCTAGTGTTTAATTTAGATCATTTTCAAAATTTATAGTATTTTGTACCATATTGTTTTTGTCTTAAACTAGTTTGGACCTGTACTATAATTTATTTTTTTGGGGGCGCGGGGGGGGGGGGCGCGGAAGGGTTCATTTTCTCTGTGTATGTTTGAACTCATATAAAAGTTTGAATCCCAACTCCAAGTATACAATTGCGATAGCAATGAAGGCAATTATTTAGAATTAACCACATATACAGCATATGCCATTTGTATATTAATATCTTGCTATACACATGAATTTGTCATAGTGAATTTTTCCTATAACTTTATTGTGATTCCATTATATTATTGGTGTACTTTATTGATTATTTCTAGCATGACAAAATAGGGCCAAATGATTAAATATACCTTTTAAAAATGTGAAATGTAAAATTAGCATGTTGAATTTCAAAATACCAAATTATTACAATTAAAACAATTTGAAATTTTAAAATGTTGCGAAATCACGTCACTATCCTCAAATTTTTTTTTTTCTATTTTTTTAGAATGCCACATAAGCACCTCTAGTTGGAGGCTTGCTGCCAGAGCTCCAACATCAATGACCCCTTCAGTGGCTAGTCTTTGGCATGTTGTTAGAGTTTTAGTGATTACTCTTTTTTTACTATTGATTATTTTAGTTTAGTTGTTGACTATTTTTATTTTTAGAGTTCTGATGACTACTTTTGTTTGATTATTGACTATTTTAGCTTGACTCTTGACTACTGTTATTTCTAAAAATTTGGTGAATGCCTTTGTTCAAGTATTGACTACTTTAGTTTTGTGATTGATTACTTTTGTTACAAAAATTTGAAAAATATATTAGGAGCTCCACTAGTTACTACTTTTGCGAAACGAGAATAGTCAATAAGAAAAGTAAATAGCTATACAAGAGTAATCAATAACAAAAGTAGAGTTCTTAAAACTAGATAAGAGTAGTTACCGGCCAGAAATATAGGGACAGTGGCATCATTTTGCAACGTTTGAAAATTTTAAAATATTACATGAGTATAATTTGATACTGTGAAATCCAACCTCCTAATTTGTCATTTAGTCTTTTAAGGGTTTTGTTGTTGTTGTCATTTTGCTATTAGATATTTCTTTTTCTTTTTTCTGCCAGCACGGTGAGAGGAAGAAGTTAGAGAGAAGAACTAAAATTAGTTATTTCGAATTCAAATCAGTTGCTAAATATTATTTTAAAATTCATGAAATTAACTGAAATCTAAAATATGGATCAATTGTACTATTCTAAGACAAGCTAATAACTGATAAGCAAACAAAAGTTGTTGAGGTAAACTGAATAATTGGAAGCTCCCAACACAGTATAAATAGCCCACCCAGAATTCTTTGCGACGTCATTAATTGATATATCAATTACCAAATAGTAATTCTTCAAGAATGGCTTCTGGGAAAACCCTCTATCTTGTGCTCTGTCTGATTATCATGTTATCATCAGGTCAGCTTTCTTTTTTAGTCTTCTTGTTTCATTATTCTTTGTTTTTTTTTTCCTAATTATATATGATCTTCATTAACATAACACTAACTATTTTTTATTTAACGCGACACTTAAGTTATGAAATTATAATTAAAAAAAAAAGTCAACCAGTTCTCTTCAAAATGTCTTGTATATCAAATATCTAATAATATTCAATATGAAATTTAAGCATACCGTATTGTCCATTGCACATAACTTAGAGTGCTGTATTATAGAGGAAATGAATGAAATATGAGTTTTTAAGAAGAAGCTTTCCTTTTCATATCCAAATAATCAAGTTATTTATTAAGAAAATATATATATACATATTTGTGTGTGTGTTTGTGTGTGTGAATAAATATCGTTTTACGATGGACTTATAGATAATAATAGCAACTTATTTTATGTTATATATATTGCAGGCGAGATGGATGTAGTAGAGGGAATAAAATGCTGTGAGGATCATCACACTCCGAATTGCAAAAATGAAAGTTGCAACACAAGATGCCAAGCAAGTTGCAGAGGAGGAGAATGCAAAATTCGGCATTCCTCGCATTATTGTCATTGTTACTGTTAGTTAGATACTTTGTGCTTTTAATTTCTCTAAATAAGAACACGTGAATGTGTGTTAATATGTGTGTAACTTATCTAAATAAGTGTTTCAGCTTTTAATTACTCATCCGATCTTAAATATAAGACTCTTATCTAGTTTGAGGATCTTATATTTAAGACCGGAGGAATAATTTGTATGTTGGTAATTCACATGTAACAGTATATATATAGTGATGAATTTACTACAAGAAGTTGCTAATTTTAGTTTTTAATTTATTAACTGAAGAGCTCCATTATTAGAATTGACGACTCCATTATTACAAGAAGTTTTTAATTACTTTCGTAGCTAACATTTTTAAATTGACTGCTTCATTTTAGCACATTTATAGCTATCCTTTCTAAATTTATTAGTCACAAGAAGAAGAGAATGTTCTTGTTTTTTAGAAATTGATCAACTCTGTTAACTACTACCTCAGTAGAATTGACAGCCAACGGTAGCAAATTAACTACAATATGATAAAATGGCAAGAACGTTGACGACTATCCTTTAGAAATCCACAACTTTGTTATAGGAAATTAATAAATACCTATATGAAATTCACAACTTTTTTAAAAGATTTGGAAACTAAGTTTATTACATACACACATGTATATACTACTTCTGGTTCTTAATATAAGTGCTAGTTGACTAATTCAGATATATTGAAAAAAATAGTTAAGTTGGTTTATTTGTAATAGATAGGTGTTGTTTTAAAAATATCCTTATTAATCAAGTAGAAAGGCTACCTTAAATATCATAGACAAAGTGAATTAGAATCTTATATTTATGACTAAAATAAAAGGTAAGCGAATTCTTTCTTATATCTTGTAGAATAATATTTTGCGTTATATAATCAATAGGCATATATGGGTAATCATCAATATAAATATTTAATCTCTTCCACTTGAGCCATGTGTTTGTATCGGCTCACTGGTGGCTCTAGAGACAAATTACTATTCACAAGGATTAAATGGCTTGAATCAAATTGCATCTGGCTTTGTGCAAGCCGCTATTAATTATTGACTTCACTTGGACTTAGTGTATAGTTGAATTTCAAACTTGTTGAAATTCTCCCACTAACTACAGACTTGTGGGAGTGCTATTTCTTTAATCACAATCACAAATTCTCCCACTAATGTTCAGCTATTCCAAAATTTCACATGATTTTCCCCACTTTCTAGATAAGGTAAATCACGGTTTTGAGAAAGTATAAGAGAGGAGGTAATTAACAAAGGAAAAATATCCATGGGATATTATTTAAAAAAATAATTGAGATGAGGAGAGAAATTATTGAAATTCAATTAATTATCAAATTATTACGAATTTTGAAAGCTAAAGTGACTTATGATAAGTAAGTATAATAAAACATTATCATTTTACTGCTTATTAATTATTAGTTGCTTTATTTTTCGTTTATTCGAGCATGAGTTTGCCTAATTTTGTGACGTGTGCGCATACCCAGGTCGTGTGGCCTTGTGGCGTGTG